CAAAGAGCTGCAACCCTCAAAGGCACCATCTCCAATGTGGGTCACAGGATCCGGGATGGTCAAGTTTGCCAGAGAGCTGCAACGCAAAAAGACAACATCCCCAAGGTGGGTCACCGAGTTCGAGATAATCAAGCTCACCAAAGAGCTGCAATTCCCAAAGGCACAATCCCCAATATTTGTCACCGAGTTTGGGATGGTCAGGCTTGCCAAAGAGCTGCAATTCTCAAAGGCACAATTCCCAATGTGAGTAACTGAGTTCGAGATGGTCAAGTTTGCCAAAGAGCTGCAATTCTCGAAGGCACAATTCCCAATGTGAGTAACTGAGTTCGAGATGGTCACGTCTGCCAAACCGCTGCAGCCCCCGAAGGCACAATTCCCGATGTGGGTCACTGAATTCGGGATTGTCACGTTCATCAAACAAATGCAATCTGCAAAGGCAAACTGCCCGATATGGGTCACCGAGTTTGGGATGATCACTTTAGCCAAGGTATGACAACCCTCAAAAGCCCTTTGACCAATTCGAGTTTCATCGCTTGGAATTTCGACTGTAAGAAACAGGTTATAGTCAATCACACCGCCAAGACTGACGATCGCATCTTTGTCAGAGCAAATCACTCGGTTTTCTTTGAAGACAACACTTACAACAGCGTCATCTCCCGCAATGCCTGCATCCAAGATCTTTGCATCATCGGCCAGCAATTGCCTGTCTCCAACAATGATCTCCACACCTGTGGTCTCGTAACTTTCGATGGTCAGCACATCCCGAAGCTGTCTCTCTTTAATCTGCTGCTTTAGTTGCCACCCATTCATCTCTGGAGTCACTTCAACGTTTATGACTTCACCACTGGGCAGGAGTGCTGCAATGCTCGTCGCCATGGCGAAAACGTACCTTGAGGAGTTTGAGCTGATCATTCACTTTAGTGTCCGGTTCACGGTGGAAACGGGTGAAGGGCTGTGAAAAATAGGACAGAGTTCCCAGAATGGTATACAGTATGGATCCAAAAATCAGGCAGCCAAAAGAAATGGAAAAAGCCACACCATCGCAGTTCCCAGGCGGTTCATCAGCTTCGCTTTCGTCTGGTGGACTCCGGGAGGGGCCCACGGCCCTGGCCCTCACGCCGCAGCCTGGCCATTCGCTTCGCCCCGCGTCTTCGCTGCCTGGTTCGGGCGGGAGCGAAGACGTCCATTGGAGCGACAGGACCGACGCGGGGAGCCTGTGCAGCGTGTGGACCTTGCGTGGTTCTGGAAGTGTTTGGCTTGGCGGTGCTGGGTTGTTGTTGTTGCCACGGTGACCGTCATGTGTATTGCAACGGCAGGTGGTTCCGTGGTTTAACGGCACGGCGGTGTTGGTTGCGTCGGTCTTGGGCGCGCGTGGTCTGGGTTCTACCCCGCTGATACCGTTGCAATGAACGCGCCCCCCCGGAAGGAACACGTCTTCGCTGCCTGTGACCTGAGGCGGTCCCTGACTGGGCGAGTTCCGAGGAACTGGAAAAGCCCGACATGATCTGCTACTCATGTCCACCATCGTGAAACTTACGGTCAGTGGGGCCTGTGATCCCTTGTGGAGATATGTGGAGAGAGTGTCGTTCCTCAAAACATCGGAATAGGTCATGTCAATTTGATCACATCTCCCATCCATTCTACCGAAGGAACCATAATCATGGTGAGTCCCAATATCACTAAGCGGAGAAAACGATGTTCCAAACGAGGTCGCGGCCGAGTTCGGCGTGTCACCTCTTTGACGCCGAAACGTTTTGAGAGGTTTTTGGAGACCTGACCGTGACGGTGACCCTGGGATAGGTGGTGCAGACCAGGGATGGGCGTTTTCAGGCTGTGGAAAACCTCTGTTGGAGGAGGCCAGGGTTTTTCAGGCTGTGAAAAACCTCTCTTGGTTCACCTCATTAGCTCCAAGACGACCTCGTTGAAGGACGACGATCGTCGATGCGACTTGTGGGGCGCACGAAGAAACCCATGAAAGACCGACGGATGGCTGGGTTGAACGCATCTCTTCAGGGTCACGTTCTCACCTTCCTCCTCCTCCTCCGCCTCCTCCTCCTGCTCCTCCTCCGCCTCTTCTTCTTCCTCCTCCTCCTTCTCCTCCTCCGCCTCCTCACTTCACCCTATCTGGCCCTATCCCTCCCCCGCATGCGCCTCTGACTCTGTGTGTGGCGGAAGGCTCTGACTTTGAGAGCTCCTGACGCTGCGACGCATGCACAGACCTGTCAGCTTCAACTGATGGCGTGTGCAACATTTTTGGCGAACCCAGAGTCCTGCTTTAGAACAAATAGGTCTTAGCAAATAGGTCGAGTCAGCGCCTCTAATCCCTTGGGGCTTTGTGGATCCTCTGCGCCCGGTCCACTGTCCCATCCAATGGTCTTCTGCCGGGAAGACCAATTCCCAAAGAGAACACAGCGGGATCCTCTGTGGATTAACAGGGAATCCTTCTTGACACCAACCCCCAAAAAACCCATCACTTCCCAATCAAGGTGCCCTATAAGTCCAATTGTAATATGTATATACATTTAGTATATTATATTTATATATTTAACCCTAGGCTTCCAACCACCATTAATTTAATAGCCTTTACCGAACCACCATTGTTTTGCTAAGGGTTTTACACTACAAAACCAGATCAACATAGATCAACCATTTTTTAATGGTCTTGGAAGTCTAGGGTTTAAGATATAACATAAGCTTCTATGAATTGTATAAGTATCACCTGTCAAACCGGTCTCAGGCTTCCTTGAGCTGAACCCGAGCTCTTTTCAGGCTCTCAATGGTGCGGGCCCCAGCTCGGGAAACCGACCGGTCAGCTGCGTTTTTCGTTTCGCTCGGGAAACCGTCCGGTCAGCCGACCATCTGGGTGTCCGACCAGCTGGACTACCCCTGCACTACTATCCGGGATCTCCATTGGACACCCATTGGATGGTCCAGGCGTATATAATATATATATATATATGGGCGCGCGTGCTTTTCGGGGCCCCCTGAGAAGTAATGGATAAGATATAATACCATGAAACGCGCCCATATATATATATATGCATATACTTCCACAAAAACATTGCACATAGACTGCATGAAATCTTTCATACGCCATACGCCCAGGTTCATGCCAGAGGAGGTTCATGCTATCTACAAGCGCAAAGCTGCATTGACATTCTGCATGGCGGATTTAATCATTTGCAGACAACCGCCCATGTCTTCAAGGTGGTGCACTTCTTGTAAGTTCTTCAGATGTGTCAATGCAGCCTGCAGTTCTACCTTGCGGCGCTTAGTACGGTCAGAGGACGAGGAAGAGGAGGTAGAAGACGAAGAAGATGAAGATGAGACCTTGGCCTTGCCATCCTTGGGGGTTGTCTCCTTGACGCAATCCTCGTCCATCATATTGTCATCATTTGGCTGTGAGTCCAGGGCTTCTGAGTGATGGTCCTCAAAGATGTTGGCATCCTCCAAGGGGGAGGGGGGGTACTTGCATATTCTTTTAGTGTCAGCCTTATTCTATCAGAAGTCTCCTCCTACCCCCCCCCCCCCCCCTTTCCTCCACTGAGTGTCACAAGTTAGATATGTTGAGGTAAATGGTTGATATGTTTGCAAAGGATATATGTGTACACAGATGAACTAGTTGGATCAGATGATATAGTTGGATCAGATGAATAGTTGAAGGGTTTGATACATTTGGATCAGATGATTGAACATGAATTGCTTCCCAGGGGGCCCCGAAAAGTTCACGAGCCCATATATATATATACCCTGGGAGTCAAAGACTATAAACAGAATGGTCTTTAGGGGAACTGAAAGGGAACTTCCTTTACTCCAGCCAGTCGAAATATAGTCTTTGGACTTCTAGGGTATATATATATATATATTATATATGTGTGTATATGTACCGTATACCAAAAAGGAATGACCCGTTTCCGGCAGGGGATGGCAGGACCTGGCAGGACATGGGTGTTTCTGGCTGGAGATCAAGAAACAAGTAGTGCAGGGGCGACAAAAGCCGTGTGACTCCATAAGGAAGATGCTGGTAGAGATAGCTCCTGTTGGGAGTCCAGCTTCAGTGAAGGCAAACGACCGCCCTTGATGCGTCGTGAATCGTCGGAATCACCCCACTCTTTTCTTGAGGGAGCCAGGAGTAAATCTGCATTCAGGGCGCAAACAAAATGGTTCATCTGTGTTAATCCATCCAATGTCCTGCGATTCCATGCGCTCTGGCGCTCTTGGTCCGCCCAGAACAACGACCCGGGCCGCCGGGCGCGTGGTCCGCGGACGCGGCGGGAACCGCCTGGGCGAGGGGCGGCCCCAAAGCAATGGGAAGGGTGGCAGGTTGAGAAGGTCCTGACCCCTGCCTAGCTTGCGGGAGCGGGTCGGCCCACAGATTCTCATTGAAGATGAACGAAAAGAAAGGAAGAACCAGCACCCGGCTCTAGAGGTCTCCCTGCACCTGAGGTCTCAAAGCCAGAAAAGGTGAATTCGCTCCAAAAAAGACACCCTCCCCCCAAAACCGAGCACCCCACAAGACCCCCTATCTATCACCCTTATGGTTATAGTTCTAGACCCAGCTTCCGCTGGCAGGAAAACGGGTCGCCAGTGGGTAGTAGGTTGTCTGTGGTCATAATTATACCTGGACCTTCAAAAGCTTCGGGTGTGATAAATGATGAAAAATGGAGATCCACAGGTTGTGCAGGATAGTCGATTGGGATCCCTTGGAAGCTGCGCCTGAAAGTAGCTCGAAGGGAAGCATTTTTGACCCGAGAGTGGTAGCCACCTGGTCTAAGCCGTCTGACGGTGTCTTGCTTAAGAGCAGATGGTCTGAAAGAGAACCGGCATCCTTTCTTGAAAGATCTCAAAAGGTCCAACAGTGGTTGAGGGACCCGAACGTTCGACTATCCCAGTTCGGTACCGGATCCTATTCAAGTCACTCTCCACCTCTCTTGGGTTCTAACACCGACGCTTCCACCCTGCACCGGTGCTCCCAAAGATCGAGGTTCCGTGGCAAGGCGACCGCGACCGGATCAACCGCCTGTAGCTCGCCAGTGGCTGCCTCTTGCTCGCCTGTAGCTTCCGCGCCTGGCCCTTCCGCTTCCGCCTGCCCGCAGAGGACGGCAAGCGAAGCGAGCTTTCCCGCAGAGGACGGTCAGAGTGGAGTCCAAGAGAGGTGTTTTGAGACCGCTATCGACCGCGAGACGGACCCTGGGATAGGTGGTACAGGATGGGCGTTTTCAGGCTGTGAAAAACCTCTCTTGGTTCCTCTCTGCTCCTCTGAAACAATGGATGGTGACGATCCTTCCGGACCAGTGGCATCAGCAAAGACCTGTACAAAAGCTAGCTTGATCTTCAATATTGCCAGTCCGAATGAGACGGCTAATTCGGATTGTCACTATGATCACTATGCTCAGTGGGATCTCTTCACAAACACACCATCCATGGGGAAGCCTCTGAACGACTTGGCCAACGCTTTTCCACGCTACATTAGCCACCCATAGAATCCCTGGTTGTCCGGACAATGAGATACGATGAGCGTGTGTGCGCGTAGCACGGGGTGTGTACGCATGTTCCGGGGTGCATGTTGTCTGGAAGCCGACGAGCTCGGCCACGGGGCTGAAATGATCACCCTGAAACAATGCTCAGAGCCTCGTCCTCGTCCTCCTCATCCTCCTGGGGCACCTGATTCAGGTCACACGTGGAGTCTTCATCGGACCTTTCTTTCCGTTCCAAAGGGGCGAGGTCCCACGGCGACCATTGACCCGTTTCTTTGGGAATGAAAAATGATGCAATCCATGCGGTCAACCAGCAGAGGGTTGAAGAACCCGAACTAGACTAGACTATCCTATATATAGGTACCAGTACCCCAGTAGGGTCCTAGTTCAGGTCACTTAACCTCTGTTGGAAGTTCATGTCGACATGCTGTTTGGTCCTCCGACGAAGGATGAGTTGCCCTGCTTCTGGTGCTGGGCTGAGTTGCCCGGTGCCCCAGTGCGAGCTCTTTTTGCAACCCCGCGGGACCCAGCTCGCACCAAAAACAGGTACACGAACTGACTGTTTCACATCACATGGTTACGGTGGATGTCATGGTCCCCTTAACAGACGACCTTCCTTGACGAACAGGTGGTGATCTCCACGAACACCATGTGACCGTGCTGGTCGGAGTCTACGAAACATCGGTGGTCTTCTCCAGCCACCGCTGCTGCACTCGTCGTGTGGCGCCTCCGGCTTCATCGTGTGGCGCTTCCGTTCGGCGCTCCTGGTTCGTGAAAACGCCGGGAGTGGGGCGGGAGTGGGGCAGGATGAGCATTCCACCGAGCATGGTTTTTGTTTGGGAGTTTGTGAGGGGGGAAGATGACTTGTAGTCAAACGGATATGCATGGTCAGGGACTAGATATGTGTGAAAAGTGTCAAGTTCAAAGGGAAAGGAATGCACCATTGGTCCTCACAAAGGGATGCGATCCGTTAGGGGTGCCCATCATCCACTCACTGGATGGGACCAAACATCACCCCTTTGTGACCCCGGCCATTGGTTCTAATCAATTCCAAATGGTACGAGTACATATACGAGTACAGTACAGTCTCGGGATCCAAGGAGTGCTTCTTAGACCCAAACCAAAAGTGGCTGATCAGACTATAGGCATCCAAAACGGCTTGGAACTTGGAACCTCTGGCTCATGAACAAAACCGTTCTTTTGAGCCAAGCCATAGCCTTCACGTGCCTTGATCTCAAAAGTAAATCATACCAAGAGAGGTTTTTCACAGCCTGAAAACGCCCATCCCATCTGTACCACAGAGCAGGGTCCGAACGTTCAGGTCTCAAAAAACCTCTCTCGGATAGCCTTCCTCGTCCCACACCGCGTGCCAGCCGTTCTCCACCCGCTGAGATGCCCGAGCACGCACGCTGGCTCGGCGCCAGCCGCCGCCTGACGCACGCACGCGGCCGGCGTCGCGTGAGGGTTGTCCAAGGGCTGGCGCTCGTCTCGTGCATCGAAGCAATGGGGCGTTTCGTGGATCCAAAGGGCGGGGGGGGGGGCTTACGAAATCGATCTGACCTGGACCGACTGTCACGGGGTGTCCTGTCGGTCCCTGATGGTGGTGAAGGTGCTGGGTGCTGGTACATGAATCATGTGTACCTGGACCATCCGACGAGATCCTGGATGCAGTGTAGGGTGGTCCAGCCAGGACACCCAGATGCTCGGGTCCTGGAAAAAACACTCCCTGGACCCATCATGGAAGTGGAATGGGAAACGACCCCGAAGGCTCGGATGACCAACCGGGTGACCAAGCGGGTGGTTTTCACTCCACTTCCATGAATATTTCAAGGAGTGTAATTCGCCTATTCCGCATGGGATGATTGATGAGGGTGTCATCTGATCGTTACTACGGGACCTTTGCTGAATTTTGCTGATACTTTTACAGCTTGACCGACTGCCTTCACAGCACGATCCGCAGATGATGGACCCCCTGCGAAGATGGGGCGCAGCACCGAAGGGAACTTCCGGGGTCTTCTTCCTCAAAGAAGGGAACTTCTCAGGGTGGTGGACTGCCTCACCGCTGCGAATCCGAGACAAGTCGCCCCGGCCGGGTCGGACCGAGTCAGTCGGTCCGGAGTCAGTCGGTCCGGAGTACCGGCAGCCCGGATCGGTTTTTGGGTTCAGGCCGGAGTCACCTTGGGGGTATGTAGATAGAAGTACACTAAAACGAAAACGAGTCCATGGACCTGGGAATGGGACCCGGAAAGACTGGATCTTCCTCTATACAAACCAGTCGTTTTCAGGGTCCATGGGAGTGTTTCACGGCGACCCTGATTTCGGAAGGTGCTTTCTGAAGGTCTCCAGACAGGACGCCCCTGTTAGAGGAGAATGTATCTGCAATCTCTTGCGCCGAAGATGTCGAAAAGCGGGAAACAGTTCTGTAGATGCATACTTAGAGCATCAAGAACTATTGAAATCAAATAGAACATTTAAAATGTCTACTATTTGGCTGATGGTACCAAATACTAATGTTAAATGCAATCCTTCTGACAGCGCAAATCATACTAGCGCCCTCCAACAGGAGGGTTGTTAGGCCGTAAGAGGTCTCAATTGGTGACCTGTTGGAGGGCGCTGGTAGATTCCATCCAACCTCAGCAAAAAAGACTCCTCCATTTCGCCAAGGGGCAATGCAGCGATTTCCGGATCCCCAACATTGAGTGACTCTGGGATGGTCAAGTTTGCCAAAGAGCTACAATTCCGGAAGGCACCAAATCCAATGGTGGTCACTGAGTTCGAGATGGTCAAGTTTGTCAGGGAGCAACAATTCCGAAAGGCGCAGAACCCAATGGATTGTTGAGGAGCTGTACCAGGACACCCATCTGGTCTCGTTTTCCATGATTTTCCCCTCTGGGTCCGATATTAATATTATAAATAGAGAGAGAGAGAGGGGGAGAGAGAAAGACTTAGACGTGTTGTTGCCGTTTTGTTTTGATGTTGCTGTGTCAGCAATTTGGTGAGTTACATGGCTTTTCTCATTCGACAATACGAATCTGGTGATTACTATAAGCCGTTCCTTGTGCACGGACTACATATGGCTGGACGTGATGCCTCCCCTTTGGACTAAACATAGCAACCACATAATAGATGGAACTATTCTCTCTTCAAAGGTAATGGACATGTGGTTCGATTTATTCTTAGACTCATAGAGCTTGTCGTAGCTTCTCATCCTTTCAGTGGTGATGTTCACAGGCCCAGTCAACTCCGCGCTGGCGCCACGGTAGACACGACCGGCATATGGGACCGAAAGCTCGAGGCTGTGGGGAGCTGGCACCGAGCGAATGACCTAGGTTGACCACCCAAAATGAACAGAATGGACTATTAGCCTTCTGGGTTCAAGACCCTGGGCTCACCTCAGGGATTCGATTCGTCAGCGTGTGAACAGAAGGTCAACCTACCCTGGTTGGGGATCCGGTCTTTGATCAACAGCCACAGCCAGACCCATCAGGCCAGGGAAGAGAAAAACGTCAGGGTGCAGCGTATTTTCCAGTCCCGTGAGTCTCGTGAGATACAGCGCTCTATATAAAAGGTGATCAGCAAAAGATTAAGAGAGATACAACCCAGGCTCCCAGATCTACTGCAAAATAGAATACACTCCCGACAACACACATCACATGGGAAGTAGATGTGTACCACCTGTTCGTAAAGGATACAGTCGTCTTCCAAGGGACCATGCCATCCACGTAACCATGGAACGTGAGTCAGAGTGTAACAGTGTAACCCATGAATCCTGGAACCTGGAACCTGAGATGCTCCGAGATCGGGTTGCTCCTTATATATTCTGTGTTCCGTGGCCGACGGTCGCTGGGCTACAGGAAGTCTCACAGTATTTGTCCTCCTCTTCCGCCCTCCGCCCAGCTGACTGAGAGCTGGAGGCCCCGGTGGGTGGTTCGCCAGGAGCACCAAATCAACATCAACGACGCCCCCCACAGCCCTGGACCACTGGGTCTTCCCAATTGGACCCGTCAGACGGTCGGCGAGCGATGGAGAGCTCGAAATCTCTGGATCCGGCCGGGAAAAGGCCGACACGTCAAAGAAACAGAAGAACCTGTAGTAGAAGAAACAGACGACCCATACAGATGCACCTGGAAACCCAGTCTCAACCAGAAAGAAATGGTTGTTCAAAATATGGCAATTAAGAATACTTGGGATTTGGGATCCATGACATTGGAAGTGGCTGCTTAAGGGCAACATCCACTTGTTTCTGTTTCTGGTTGAGACTGGCTTTCCAGGCATGACACATCACGTTTCACCGCCGTTTCACCCAAAACGTCTCGTGTCCTGTCGTGTCCTGTGTGTTCTCTGCTGGCCTCTGGGGGCCTCTTGCTCTGGCTTTGAGAGCTCCTGGATGAGGCGGCTGGGGAGGCAACCTCTTGCAGCTCGGTGGGACCTCTTGCAGCCATGTTTCGGGTCAGGACAGTCGGAGGGAACGATCTCCGATTTGGTTGCTTCCAACAGAGGTGGAGAGTGACCTGAACGTTCGGACCCAGAAAATTAAGGGGTACCCAACTAGGATAGTCGAGTTCGTTCGGGTTCTGACCCACCGCTGGTCGAGGTCGGCTGGGAGAATTGGGTGCTACGAGACCCACACTTGACCGT